CGACTGGCTAGCCTATAGTGCCTCTTAGATGGTTCTACCAGCCATTTTGGGCCGAATGGTTTGGTTAGGAACAAAATCTTCACTTAATTTGTGACCCCAGGCAGAGTCCTTCCCTTAGCCACAAAAACTGACACCCTCTTCCAAGTGTCTTTAAGATCACATCTTACATAAGCCCACAGTTGCCTTTTTTTTTTTTTTTTTTTTTTTTTTTGAGACAGAGTCTTGCTTTGTCACCAGGCGCCAGGCTGGAGTGCAGTGGAGGGATTTTGGCTCACTACAACCTCCGCCTCCCAGGTTCAAGCAATTCTCCTGCCTCAGCCTCCCAAGTAGCTAGCTGGAACTACAGGCATACACCACCATGCCCAGCTAATTTTTGTATTTTTCGTAGAGACGGTGTTTCACCATGTTGGCCAGGATAGTCTTGATCTCTTGACGTCGTGATCCGCCCGCCTCAATCTTCCAAAGTGCCGGGATTACAGGCGTGAGCCACGGCGCCCGGCCCTTTTTTTCTTTTTAATATCTTGCTGTGTCACCCAGGCTGGAGTGCAGTGGCACAATCTCGGGTCACTGCAACCTTCACCTCCCGGGTTAAAGCGGTTCTCCTACCTCAGCCTCCTGAGTAGCTGGGACTATAGGGGTACACTACCAGGCTTGGCTAATTTTTGTATTTTTAGTAGAGATGGGTTTCACCATGTTGGCCAGGCTGGTCTTATACTCCTGACCTCAGATGACCCACCCACCTTGGCCTCTCAGAGTGCTGGGATTATAGGCATGAACCACCAAGCCCAGCCGGCTTTCCTTTTTTCGGGGACACCATCTTGGGCCTCACTCTGTCACCCACGCTAGAGTGCGGTGTTGGCTCACTGCAACCTCTGCCTCCCAGACTCAAGCAATTCTCATGCCTCGGCCTCCTGAGTAGCTGGAATTACAGGTGTGCACCACCACACCCGGCCACTTTTTGTATTTTTAGTAGAGATGGGGTTTCACCATATTGGCCAGGCTGGTCTTGAACTCCTGGCCTCAAGCAATCCACCCGCCTTGGCCTTCCAAAGTGCTAGGATTATAGGCATGAACCACTGCATCCAGCCGACTTTTCTGTTTTTTTTTTTTTTTTTTTTTTTTTTTTTTGAAACAGTCTCATTCTGTCATCCAGGTTGGAGTACAGTGGCGTGATCTTGGCTCACTGCAACCCTAACCTACTGGGTTCAAGTAATTCTTGTGCCTCAGCCTCCTGAGTAGCTGGAATTACAGGCACACGCTACCACATCCAGCTAATTTTTTGTACTTTTAGTAGAGATAGGGTTTCGTCATTGCCCAGGCTGGTGTTGAACTCCTGAGCTCAGGCAATCCACCTGCCTCAGCCTTCCAAAATGCTAGGATTACAGGAATAAACCACCACGCCTGGCCTTCCCTTTCAATACCAGAAATAAACATTCCCCCCACCACCACTGAGACTTAACCTTTTTAAGCACCTATCTTTGCTTTCCTTGTTTCTACCAGGGATCACAAGTGGCTTTACCACTTCAATTATACTGCTACTGACAGTGTCCCCAAGGCCCACCCTGCAGAGTGGGGAGTTGCATGACATTATGTTTTGTTATGTTTTCTTATCTCAAATTGGTGGGCTTTTTTGGTGGGAAGAAAGTTTCATAAAGTTGGAGATTTCAGCCTTAAAACACAGTGGCGGGGCACAGTGCCTCATGCCTGTAATCCCAGTACTTTAAAAGGGTGAGGCAGGTGGATCACCTGAGGTTAGGAGTCCAAAACCAGCCTGGCCAACATGGTGAAACCCCGTCTCTACAAAAAATACAAAAATTAGTCCCAGCTGATTGGGAGGCTGAGGCACAAGACTCACTTGAACCTGAGAGGGGGAGGTTGCAGTGAGCTGAGGCTGTACCACTGCACTCCAGCCTGGGCGACAGAGTGAGATTCTGTCTCAAAAAAAAAAAAAAAAAAGGGTCCATTATGCAGACAAGCCCTGTAACCCAACCCTCCAGCTTTCTATCTGCAGTTAAGGCAGAACCACTGGAAATGGATGGGAAGCCTGCCTTGACCAGAGGCATGGACAGCCAACGGGTCAATGTGTCCCAAAATGCTCAGGGCTTATCCTCATATTCCTCCCATCCTCATTTTTTCACTCTGCATTGACTCAGTCATCGCTCCAAAACTTACCAGTTGGTAGAACACATGAAAATCATGGTATTCTTTGAAATCTTCATGTATTTAATTTCATTACATGGAAGTTTTATGCAAGAATTGCACTGAAACTTTCCATTTACATTTCTTGGCTACTTCTGTGTCATATGAGAGACAAGCAGAAGTAACTTTTTTTAGAAACATAGTTTTTAGTATATTTAGTGGTTTTAAAATATTTTTAGTGTTTTGTAGAAATTGAGGAAATTCTCTTCACTGAAATTTGGGAAGGTTGGGAGGTCTGTCACCGTTCTAGTTTTGCTGAGAACATGTCTTCTAGTTCATAGATAGTAAGATTCAAAGGAGCATAGTCAAAAGCACTAGCCTAGTTAGAGAAAAGGACAAATTCAGTCCTTAGCGCTGTCACTGCTGCTTTGGCCTGTAACAAGGCTACCACTCCACAGCCTGTTGTGGAAATGGGAGCTTTAAAAGCCAAAGCCTATAGGGCTGGGTTTTTCTGCCCTCCTGGAACACTGGAAAAGCCCAGTGCTTCTACATCTTTCTGAGCCCCCAAGTGAGCAGCATAGTGGACTGACCCTCCACTGGCTACAGAGATACCGTCCTGGCTCTCCCAGAATGTCACGGTGTCAGCCCAAGAAATGACTGTTCAGTAGGCAGGGCTGTGGGGAGAAGATGTTGCTACTGTGTTCTGGCCCCAATATCCATCCATGCCTATTGTTTTCTCTTTCAGCTTCGGCTTCATTAACGCCAGATTTCTTATCTCCAGGAAGTTCAAATGTCTCTTCTCCCTTACCTTGTTTTGGATCCTCATTCCACTCTACAACTTCCTTTGTCATTAGTGACATCACCGAGGAGACAGAGGTGGAGGTTCCTGAGCTTCCATCAGTCCCCCTGCTTTGTTCTGCCAGCCCTGAATGTTGCAAACCAGAACACAAAGCTACCTGCAGTTCGTCTGAAGAGGATGACTGCATCTCTTTGTCCAAGGCCAGCAGCTTTGCAGACATGATGGGTATCCTGAAGGACTTTCACCGGATGAAACAGAGCCAAGATCTGTAAGTATCTGATGAGGCGCTATTTACTCTGAGTTACCCATGGCCAATGATCTAATGCAACATACTTACATAGTAAGTTCTTAGTCGTACCGTATGTTATGTCATTCAGAAAGTTTCCTGACTACCTGCTTGCCAGTGTCTTGGGCCCCAGTTTGAGGAAAGAGCAACACTTTACATTTATTGGGTTAGGTCACCCAAACCAAATGTTAGGCTAGTAAGGATCTTACAAAAAGGCTCATCTAATCCAACTTCTGTTCTCAGGTGGCTTTTTACCACTTCATTTCTCATACTGCTAGTGATAATGTCTCCATGCTCCACCCTTCACAGTGATGGGTTGCATCACATGTTTTGTTTTCTTATCTCAAATTGGTAGACATTTTTGGTGGGAGGAGAATTTCATAAAGTTGGAGATTTCTGCTTTAAAATACAGTGGTCCATTATGCAAGCAAATCCTGCAAATTCAGTGATTTGAGAACAAGGCTTTTGAGACTCACCAGGAGTTCCTAAACCTGTCTGTGTATCAGAATTGCTTGGATTTGTTAGAAATACATCTTTAACTTACTAAAGTAGAACCCCAAGGAGTGGAGCTCTAGGTTTTTCTGATGGTGTATGAGGGACTTTAGGGAAAAATTTCATCTGGCAGAGAAGCCTCAGGGAGTCACCCCATTGCATAGTGTTTCTCCAGTTGTGGATTGTAGTTTCAATAGTGGTTTCAACAGCTGCACAGGACCACCAGACACCAGAGGAACTTGGTTTGAAGGTAGGTTCCTGGGCATTTGAGATCTAGACCTTGCACTAGTTGTGCAGATATATTTTATTTTTTATTTTTTATTTTTTTGAGATGGAGTCTCACTCTGTTGCCCAGCTGGAGTGCAGTGGCATGATCTTGGCTCACTGCAACTTCCACCTCCAGGGTTCAAGCAATTCTCCTACCTCAGCCTCCCGAGTAGCTGGGACTACAGGCGCACGCCACCATGCCTAATTTTTGTATTTTTACTAGAGGTGGGGTTTCACCATGTTGGCCAGGATGGTCTCAATCTCTTGACTTTGTGATCCGCCCACTTCGGCCTCTCAGAGTGCTGTGATTACAGGTGTGAGTCACTGCACCTGGCCAGTTGTATTTGTTAATGCAGATGAAAAACCGTTTTAGGGACTGGAAGTGAGGTCTCCTGAGTTGATAAAGTTCTTGTTAAAGGGAAAGTTACTTGCCTTGGTTCCCTTTTTGTCTCCTAGGACCCATTTTCTTCTGAAAACTAGGTCAAGCTAAGTGACTTTCTCATTGCTTCCTGGCAGTTGACCCATTTGGGAAGTCACCCTTAACATTCCTTCACTGGCCCTAGTCAGGTTGGTCATACTCACCTGTAGCTCTTTGGTCTTCTACATTCCCAAATTCAGTTGCTGCTGCTTTTGGTCATCTCTGAGCTGTTTTCTTCTGAACACAATGCTTTCTAGGTTGACTCTCAAAATTTTTTCTTACTTGCCTTTTGGACCAAATTAGATTCAAGACCATTATTGCCAGCCCCCTCCTCCCACTTGTGTCCTTACATCAGGAGTTGGGTCAGTGAATAAGAATGGGAAAGTACCAAAATCAGCAAGGTTCAAGAATGTCACCAACCAAACGCAGTCTTGTTTTTGCTTTGAAAGTTGGATAGTCAGTCTTGGCCCTTTTATTTAGCTTAATCACCAATCAAACATCTTCATGAGGATACATGTATATAAGTTCACTAGGATTTCAAGCAACTAATTTCCAGGTATCTAGGACCCTGTTATATAATGTATCAGATAATTTGGACTTCAGTCTGGAGTTGGTTTTGTTCCCATGAGTTTCTTAAGTGAATGTTTTGCTCTAATTCTGGCTCTTATAAAAATATCATCTCCCCTGAAAGGGAGACAGGGTAGTAGGAAATCCCAAACATACCTTTTCCCCAGAACTGTTAAGGGTCAGAATAGCCAAGAGTCATCAGTCACTTCCCCTGCTCACCCTCTGGGGAAACGCTACTGTGAAAACATAGGGCCAGAAGGCAGAAGCAGAAGATTAGCCACCAGAAGCCAACTCTTCCAGATTGATGGTCCTTTGCCTACACCTTATAGCTATTTCAGGAACTAGTAAAGCATTCCAGTTAAGAGATGAGATCTGAAACCAGCTAGTTTGGTTTTGAACTCTGGATTCACTACTTACTTGCTGAGTGACTAGGGACCTTGGGCAACTTGTATAACCTTCCTATGCTTCAATTTCTGTATCTGTGAAAGGGAATTGTAGTAGTACCTACAGCATAAGATTGTTGAGGATTCAATGAGATAATATATTCAAAGATATACAGCACTACCCAGGAAAAAGTACTCAAGCTGTTATTGTGCCTTTAGGAACCGGAGTTTATTGAAGGAGGAAGACCCTGCTGTGCTTATCTCTGAGGTCCTAAGGAGGAAGTTTGCTCTAAAGGAAGAAGATATCAGTAGAAAAGGAAACTGATAACCCTCAGCTCTGCAAACTCAGTCTCATGCTCCTGGAATACCTTCAATAGCTGCCTTCCTCACTGCAGATGTTTCTGCCTCTCAAGGAGAAATCTTCTACAATCTTGCTGACAAGCTAGAGCTTGGACTGAAAGAGAAGAACTGGATTGTATGTTTCCCAGACTTCAAACCCTAGCAGAAGCTAAGGCCTGTGATTTGACCTGAGACATTTGTTACAGGTAATTGTGCAGAATGAAGTGTCTCAGTTTAAAGGGTAAGAGAGAAGTTGTTTCTGGTTTTTCCTTGCCCCTATGTGAAAATAAGTCCTAAATGACTGATTTACTTCACTGCATTAGACCCTATAATTGGTCTCACAAGACACTGTGCCCAGCTGTCACTCACTCTCAGCAGCTTTCTTGCAGCAGAGCAGGGCTGATGTTAAGGGGCTATGTTTGTATACATGTTCACAGGGCACGGAAAATCTTATGCTGCTCCATCATAAACCACCAATGCGCAGCAATCACCCTCCTCACTTCCTTGTCTAGATGCAGAGGTCAGGCTGCTGAACCAGCTGATACATGGTCTATTGCTGGGAAGCCTGGGCTGTTTTTTTCCTTAAATAGATTTTATATTACTGAACAACCGAGTCTACCCTCCAGGGCCCGAGGCCTTATCAGTTCCACTGATTAAAAGCGTTCTTTTCCATGGACTTTAAGCCCAGTAGGAAAGAGAAAGGAGGAGGGGGAAAGAGCATACCATCATCTTTCTTCGAGGCCCTTGACTGCTCCTTTGGGTTGGGCCAAGGTTTGTACCTACCACGCCATGCATGACTCAGATGCCCTCAGGTCCCTTTCTCTATGGTATGTATACTTTGTGTGTTTGGGTTGAAGTACTACCTGACATTAAAGGAAGGATTGGAGAGAGAATGCCTTTACTGTGTCCATCTTTTGAGTTGTTGTGGTTATCCATCTTTTGAGTTGTTGCGGTTACCCAGTATCCTTCAGGGATATAAGATTATTGTTAATTTTAAGGTGTATGAACTTAAAACAGGCTACTGGCTTCTCCTCTTTCCTGCCCTTCTAGGGGGTTTCTTCCCCCTTTCTGTAGAGATTTTGCCCTACACTCATTTTTTAGAAACTGGGTCTAGCTCTGTCATGCCTAGGCCAGAGTGTAGTGGTGAGATCATTAGCAAACTGTAGCCTCTAAACTCCTGGGCTCAAGTGAGGCACCCACCTTCTGGTACTACAGGTGTGTACCACCACACCCAGGACATTTTAAAATTTTTTTGTAGAGATGGTGTCTTGCTGTGTGGCCCAGAATGGTCTCGAACTCCTGGCCTCAAACAGACCTCCCACCTTAGTCTCCCAGAGCATTGAGATTACAGACATGAGCCACTGCACTCAGCTCCACACAATCTTAAAAGCAGTTCTTTCAGGAAAATGACCTGAGAGATGACATACAAGATAAAAGTAGAATTTAACATTTAAATTAGGCCAGGTACAGTAGCTCACACCTCTAATCACAGCACTTTGGGAGTTCAAGATCAGCCTGGGCAACAAGACCTCATCTCTACAAAGGAATTTAAAATTTAGCTGGGCATGGTGGCATGTGCCAATAGTCCCAGCTACTTAAGAGGCTGAGGTGGGAGAATCACTTGTGCCCAAGAGGTTCAAGATGCAGTGAACCGTGTTCATGCCACTGCACTCCAGCCTGGGCAACAAAGCGAGACCATGTCTAAAAAAAATAAAAAATTTAAGTTAAAAAAAAAAAAGCAGTTCCATAAACCTGCAAATTTGTCCCCTAGAGGTTGTTTAAGCCTCTTAGGTACCACATTAACAACAAAGGACAATGCCTTGGGTAGAAGACAGGTCAAACTAGACACTGGTTCAGATCAGACTCAGGGCAATGACAGCATATACTATTACAACACTGCATTTTCAAAAATAAAATTGGTAATGGTTTAATTACCTTAAGAGCCACTTTGTAAACATTTATTTGGATTCATTGTTTTACAAAGGGGATTCCACATCCTATCTTGTGGGAAAAGGGTAACATAGTCACATATAGATTGTTATATAACTCAGGCTTTTTTTTTTTTTTTTTTTAAATTTGAGACAGTCTCCTTCTGTCGCCAGGCTGGAGTGCAGTGGCGCAGTCTTGGCTCACGGCAACCTCCACCTCCTGGGTTCAAGTGATTCTCCTGCTTCATCCTTCCTAGTAGCTGGGATTACAGGCATGCGCCACCACGCCGAGCTAATTTTTGTATTTTTAATAGAGACGGGGTTTTAACCATGTTGGCCAGGATGATCTCTATCTCCTAACCTCACGATCCACCCACCTCAGCCTCCCAAAGTGCTGGGATTATAGGCGTGAGCCACCGCGCCTGGCCAGCTCAGGCTTAAGAAGTATATGTAAACATAAAGTATATAACTTTAAAGTGCTGTACAGTTACCACAAAAATAAAATAACAAGAAACTAGCACCATTCTGCCTCTCTTCTCCCCACACCTGGGTTGTGGGGAGATTTGCCTAATCACTCAAAAAAAAAAAAAAAAAACAGGGTGGGGGGTGTCAAGAGTAATCATCCCAAGCTTAGGTTGAAGTGGGTAAGATTACAGCCAGAGACTGAAAGCTCACAAATCCATAAGCAAGGTCCCAGTCAGGGATCTGGAAGGGCAAAGAGATGGCTCTGTGCAGGCTGAGTAAAAGGTGCTTTCATGGAGGGATAAATACACAATGTGCTGCCTCAGTGTTCATCATAGACTCGTTCAGGGAATCTACCAGCCACTGTCTTCTGAGGGAAAGCCATGATGCCAATCCCACTGTCTTAACAATAGTACTGCCTGCTTCACTTAACACAGAAGATGCTCAGTAATGACAACTTTATCCTATGCCACCTTCCCAACTAAACAAGCTCACTCCTCTCTCCACCCACAACTATAGTTTCCTACATCTTTGTCATTTCAGGGTATTTTTAGAAACAAAACTTCATAAAAACATTTAGAATTGGTGCCTGATAACTTGATTACCTTCAGAGTCCTGGGTAAAGAGCAAATCAGGCTTCAGATTTTGAGTTGGCCCATCCTCCTGGCACTGAGCCCAAGGACTGTTAGGAAACGGCCCTAAGTCCCGATTCCAGTTATTGGTTACATCTTGAAAAGGAGCTCTAGTGTTGTGGGCAATGACCTGCTGGCCTTGAGAATCTTCAGTGAAAAGTTGACTCCAGGAGTCCTTGTCATTCTTTTCATTATCCCAGGAAAACACAGAAATAGGACAAGGGCTTTGTTTCACTAATTCTATGTTTTCTCCATTCCAGGATTCCCTGTAGGTTTGAAGAAGGACAGGGGCCTGCCTGTTTTCATTGGCAGATACCTTTCTTTCCAGTTTAGTCTTGTTTAAGGGCTGACAGCATTTGTCCTCAGATAGTTTGGCATGTTTCTCCATACCCTGATAGTTTTTCTTAGATCCATGAAGCCATTCCCTTTTCGTGGCAGAATCCCCTTTTTCTTCCTTTTGGTCCAGCAAACAAGAACTTTCCAAGTCCTCGGTGAAGGATAAAGCCAGTGGGGTATTACTCTCTCCAGCACAGTCTAGAGTATCAGGCTGGAGCAAAGATAGCTCAGTCAAAAATGGGGTTTTCATTCTGTGGTGGCCAGAAGTCTGGAGGGACTGAAGAGAAAGTCCAGCTTCCTGGATGTCTGCAGTGGTTGAAGTGGCTAAAGGGGATGCCATGCAATCATGTGCAAAGCCTGGGATCAGATAGTCTAGCTGGGTAGCATTTTTCTTGGACTCTTTAATTTGACTTTCTATATGAGGTGAAACATTCTTCTGGTCACTACCATTTGTCTTTCCTAAAATAGGAATGAACAAATATTATTCTGCAGAAAAACTGCCCTAAGCAGGATTTATTTGGCTTTTTCTGAAATCAATACTAGCTACTATTACTACCTAGTGCAGGAGTCTTAGACTCTTCACATAACTTTGTAACTAATCTTCCTGCTTTCAACCTTGCCACTTTCTCTTTAATAATCTCTAAAACATCAGATCCTAAATTCCCTACTCAAATACATGAATGCTTCCCATCACCTACCTAATAAAGTCAAACATCGCATATAATCAGACTACAGCCTACTTTACCAGCTGAGTTTTCATTTGTGGGTTTAATATAGGGCCTATCAGTTTTGCTTTTGTTTTTTATTTAATGTGGCTTTTACTAAATGGTAATCCTGGCCAAATAAACATTCCTAGATATTATCTTTGAAGAAACATGGTAAACACATACTAGTTTGGTCAGGTCTTAAAGATTACATTAACCATCCAACTCTGAGAAACCTGGTGACAGTGTGAAAAACGAGTTCTCCACTTCCCAAGCATTTCATTGGAAAGGGAGTGAAGACACAGTTAGGATGCTAAGTCAATCAGTAGATAGAATAGTAAAACAACTGCCAGTGTTTGGCCTGTTAATTTTATCAAGCATAGAGTGGATTCTGTTCTGCCTTAAGATAAAGATGAAGGACATGGAATTCCCAACTTGGCTCAAATTATATCAAGAGCTAATTATAAAAATAAAACAGAATAACTGACTTCCTCTTTCCTTCTCACATAAGAATTATAATACAGAAACTTAGGTTTTGTGAGAATTCTCAACTTTTCCTAAGAATTCTATATAGACTATAAAATACACCAGAATTTGTAAATAGAAAAAGGTTATTTATTTATTTTTATTTTTTAAATCTGCCCTTGTTACATAAAGTAAAAGAGTGTTTACATTTTTGTTTAGATGAGGAAGAGGGCATTTGGAAGGTTTATGCAAGGCAATCCTGAGAATCACACCTGGCATTAGAGCACTCTTCCTAACGCCCTCCAAGTGGCAGGAGCCCTGCTGTTTAAGGCCCAGCCTACTCTGAGTCAGCTGCTCCCCTGAACAGGGCAAGCAAAGAACTGCCAAAGGATAAGACACAAACCAACTTTATGTGAGCTTTTCTAAGAAAAGACATCTTTGAACCTTCATTAATCTGAGAAGCTTCACACAAAAATATCAATTATCAATTACCCCTTACATAGAGGACCCACTGTGGCCAACCCAAGGTATATACCACCTAACTAATGGCAGAGCAACTCCCCAGTGCACCTCCAACTCCCAAGTACACCTTTCCTCACTACTCTGTCAGCAAATAAAAATATTTGATATTCAGCTGAGCAAAACAGAACCAGAAAAGTAAAGTTGTAAAAGCACATATATACTGCTTTTCAAAAGGCAATGACTTCTTATGTTTTATAACCTCTTCTAATAGGTCAGCTAAGTTTAACACAATGCACTGGTTTCACCAATCCTCATATATGTTCTAACATGGACAAATGAACACACTCCATTTTTTGCTCTGGATAATAAAGTATTCCCATATGGGTCACCATACCTGGCTGCAAGGTGAAGAAGGAAGCAATGCTTCTCTGGTGAATGCCTGTAGATGGAGCTCTTCTTTGATTAAAAGAAACCTTAGTCTGTCTTTCTCCAGGAAGGAGTGTTAACATTTTGGTGGCTGGTTTGATTAAATGTGTCTGAGAAAAAGAAAAAGAATAATGAGCCTATTAATATTAAAAGACAAGAGATTCAGTACCCACCAGTGACCCTCTAAGAACCACACTAGACCCTTTGTACTCCACTTATATAGCCTATTTGCCAGGTAGTTGGTGCTGGACATCATCTTCCATTTCCTGCCATCCTGAGGGTGTTTTTCTCAGGAATCATATATTCCAATGACAGCCCAATCTTTCTGCTTCTCCACGGAAACCAGTCAGGCTGTCTAAACAAACAAGATTTGTTAAAGGGATGGCAGAGATAATGCTCTTTTATATTTAAGGATAGTTAATGATTCTACATCAGCAGCAGTTGATGCATTTTCAGTTGGTTTTTTTTTTTTAGACGGAGTTTCGCTCTTGTTACCCAGGCTGGAGTGCAATGGCTCAATCTCGGCTCACCGCAACCTCCGCCTCCTGGGTTCAGGCAATTCTCCTGCCTCAGCCTCCTGAGTAGCTGGGATTACAGGCATGAGCCACCATGCCCAGCTAATTTTTTGTATTTTTAGTAGAAACGGGGTTTCACCACATTGACCAGGATGGTCTCGATCTGTTGACCTCGTGATCCACCCGCCTCGGGCCTCCCAAAGTGCTGGGATTACAGGCGTGAGCCACCACGCCCGGCCCTGCATTTTCAGTTTTTAAGTAGTCACACAGTGGTGGTTAAGAGCATGGCACAAGAATCAGTCCCAGTTCTGCCACTGCCACTTTGCTGTGTGACCTTCTCCAAGTTGCTTAATCTGTCTCATTCTCAAGTGTGAAATGGGGACAATAAGAGTACCTATCCATATGGCAGTTATGAAAGTTTAGTAAATTTATTCACATAAAAGGCTTACACAGTTCCTGGAACAAAAAGCATTCAGTAACAGTTGGCTAATATTAAGAGGAAGAGCAGTGAAACAACACCAGTCTCACTACACTTTTAACTCAGCCACTTTTATTCTTTAGAGAGTGGAGCTGGAGGATAAGGCAAGAGAGGTTTCAGAAGTGAGTTGTCAACTATAAATATAACCTCATCCTTATTTAGTGTTTGTTTTTATTTCCATTTGCTTATTACAGAATACCTGAGAAGTAGGGAGAATAGGATTATATTCAATTTAATTTTGCTGTATCTGCCAAAGAACAAATAAGATTTGACAATATTCATGCAGCAAGTTAGAGGTAGGCCTGAAACTTGAAGCCAAGTTATTTATTCTAACTCAAAGCTGACTTTTACATTTGGAAACTTAAGTCGTACTTTAAGTGGTTAAAAGAAGAAAGAAATCCTGAAGGTAAAATTCGTATTTCAACATGTTGTATTACTGGTACAGAATCTTCTCTTCCACCACTTACAACTAGAAAACTGGATCAAAGATATATGAAAAAATTGATATAAACAGCAGACAATAGGCAGTAAAGAATTGTGATCCTTGAGAAAAGGGAAACAAATAAGGTGAGCCCTATGATCATTCCAGCTTTCTGCCCAGAAGCACTTTGCAGACCATAATGTATCTTTCTTGATGAACTGAGTAGACTGAGATTGGAATTTGTGAAAACTGAGGTGGCTGAGCTTTGTAGTGCAGAGAAAGACCTCTGGAAGGGAGACTTCTCCATGGGGATCCCTTTAGTCCATTACTGAATACTAAAGTGTACGTGTTAGGTGAAACCCCACAAAGCCAGGTAATGAAACTGCGAACTAGAATTGCAAGCGGAGCAATTCCCAGAGTTCACACAGGCTGGGGGACATTTGTGTTCCCACTATCCAGATAGGATGACCTTGAATACCAGGGATATTCATTAGAGCTCTAAGGAGAATCATCCTTTAGTAGTAGAGCTAAGTTAGTCCTAGAGCAAAAACTATTCCAAACACTTGCCTTAACAAAGCGTAAAAGCAAGCTTTGAAAGTATCAAGCTGATTAGTTACTACTACCTGCCCAAACAAATTTCAATTTCAATATTATTATTATTTTTTTTTTTTTGAGACGAAGTCTTGCTCTTGTTGCCCAGGCTGGAGTGCAATGGCACAATCATGGCTCACTGCAATCTCTGCCTCTCAGATTCAAGGGATTCTCCTGCCTTGGCCTGCCAAGAAACTGAGATTACAGGCACCTGCCACCATGCCAGGAGAATTTTTGTATTTTTAGTAGAGATGGGGTTTTACCATGTTGGCCAGGGCTGGTCTTGAACTCCTGACCTCAGGGGACCTGCCTGCCTCAGCCTCCCGAAGTGCTGGCATTACACGTGTGAGCCACTGTGCCTGGCCAATATTCTTTAAAGACAAGAATATCTAGATACTTAATGTAGCACTTGTAATGTCTAGCATACAATAAAAAATTACTAGATATGTGAAGCAGAAAAATATCTGCAATTGTGATGGGGGTGAATCTGTTAATATAAACAGACCCAGAAATGTGATATGTAAGAGAATTAGCAGACAAGTTAATAGTTAACTTAAAATAGTTACAATAAATATGCTCACGAATTTGAAGGAAAATATGAACATAATAAGGTGAGAAAATAGAAGATGTAAAAAAAATTCAACAGATGAGCTTAACAACCCATTGGAGACCACAGAAGAAAGTAACAGTGAACCTGAAGACAATAGCAACACAAACTATGCAAAATGAGGCAGAGAGAAAAAATAACTGAAAAGGAATAAGCAAAGTCTTCATCGGTGAGATATAAAGCATATATTTAATTACAGTCTCAAAAAACAAAGCAGAGGGGGACAGAAAATACATTTGAAGACATAAGGACCAAAAGTTTTCCAGATTTGGTGAAAATTATAAACCGTAACATCCTTTTCCAAAGATAGTCAATACATGATCTCCCATTTCACATGTTCTTCTTACGTGTCTATGACGCTGTCACCATCAAGTGATGAAATCCTTATTCTCTCACCTTGAACTTGGAAAGTACTTTGTGACTACTTTGACCAATAGGTATGACAGAAGTAACAAATGCTATAAATGATTTCCAAAACTAAGTCATTAAAATGCCATGCACTTCTGCCTTGCTCTCTTGAGATCCACCCACCACATTATGAGGATGCCCAAGTTGGCACATGACTCTCTAAATTTTATAGGATCCACATCCTAGGATATGTTAAATAACACAGTTAGTATACCAACAAATATTTGAGTACCTATATGCTAAGACCAGGAAGACAGTGATGAACAAAATAGACTTTCTGTTCTGGTAAAGTTGACAGCTTAAGAGAATAGACTAATAAATAGTTATTTAAATTACTACAAGTATGTTAAGTCCTATAAAGAAGCTTTGCAGAACACTACTGATTATCAGAAAACACTAAGACCTCAATTAGCAAAGCATCTGGGAATAAAGCTTTTTGCCAAGTTGGCAGGATGTTCCTTCCTTAGGTCAGAGTGAGGTCAGAAGTGATACCATACCAGTTATAGCTCTCTTAGAAAACCCTTGGCTTCAAGGATCTGTGTCTGTCTCAGTGGACTGTTATGACTGTGTGAGAAAAGGTCATCTGGAACTGAGAAAAACCGCAGGTACAAAGTCCTTCAGCTGATTATTCCTACTTCAAAATAAAGGCAGCTGTTTGAACTTTATACAGGCACACCTTATTTTTTATTTATTTTTTTGAGATGGAGTCTTGCTCTGTCGCCCAGGCTACTCGGCTCACTGCAACCTCTGCCTCCAGGGTTCAAACGATTCTCCTGCCTCAGCCTCGCTTGTCACCATGCCCATTTTTTAATAATAAAAAATTATTTAAAATAATTTTTTTATTTTTAATAGAGACATGGTTTCACCATGTTGGTCAGGCTGGTCTCGAACTCCTGACCTCATGATCTGCCCACCTCGGCCTCCCAAAGTGCTAGGATTACAGGCATGAGCCACCGTGCCTGGCCAGGCATACCTTATTTTCTTGCACCTTGCTTTACTGCACTTTGCAGATTTTTTTTTTTTAACAAATTGAAGGTCTGTGGCAACCGTGTGTTAAGCAAGTCTATCAGTGCCATTTTCCAACAGCATGTGCTCATGTCATGTCTGTCACTTCATGTCTCTGTGTCACATTTTGGTAATTCTTACAATATTCCAAACTTTTTCATTATGATTGTATCTGTGATGAGTGATCTTTAATGTTACTATTGTTAATTGTTTTGGGGCACCATGAACCATATCTATTTATGATGGCAAATTTAATCAATAAATGTAAATGTTTTGACTGCTCTACTGACTGGCCACTGCCTCACCTCTCTCCCTCTTCTTGGGCTGTCCTATTTAATATTGAAATTAGGTCAATTAACTCTGTAATGGCCTCTAAGTATTCAAGTGAAAGGAAGAGTCACAGGTCTCTCACTTTAAATCAAAAGCTAGAAATGATAATGCTCAGTAAGGAAGACATGTCCCAAGAGGCCAAAAGCTGAGCCTCTTACACCAAACAGCCAAGTTGTGAATGCAAAGGAAAAGTTCTTGAAGAAAATTAAAAGTGCTTCTCCAGTGAACACATAAATAAAGCAAAACAGCCTTATTGCTGATACAGAAAAAGTTTGAGTGGTCTGGATAAATGATCAAACGAGCTGCAACATTCCCTTAAGTCAAAGCCTAATTCAGAGAGCAAGGCCCTAACTGGAATTCAATTCTATAAAGGCTGAGAGAGGTGAGGAATGCCACAGAAGAAAAGTTTGAAGCTAGCAGAGGTTGGTTCACGAGTTGGAAAGAAAGAAACTGTCTCTGTAATATAAAAGTACAGGTGAAGTAGCTAGTGCTGATGTAGAAGCTGCAGCAAGTTATCTAGAAGATCTAGCTAAGATCATTGATGAAGGTGGCTACACAAAACAGTCTTATATAGGGAAAAGATGCCATCTAGGACTTTCATAGCTACAGAGAAGTCAATGCCTGGCTTCAAAGCTTCAAAGGACAGGCTGACTCTCTTGTTAGGGGATAATGCAGCTAGTGATTTAAAGCCAATGCTCACCTAACATTCTGAAAATCCTTAGGCCTTAAGAATTATGCCACATCTACTCTGCCTA